CCAAAAAAAAAAAAAAAAGAGAGTCTCAGCTAGGCACCATGCACTTTGGGAGGCTGAGGTAAGAGGATGGCTTGAGCCCAGGCGTTCAAGACCAGTCTGGGCAACATAGCAAACCCCATTTGTACGAAAAACACAAAAATTAGCCAGGTGTGGTGGTGCGCACCTATAGTCCAAGCTACTCAGGAGGCTGAGGCAAGAGGATCACTTGAACCCAGGAGGAAGAGGCTGCAGTGAACTATGACCACAGCACTGCACTCCAACCTGGGCAAAAGAGCAAAACTTGTCTCTAAAAAAAAGGGGGGCTGTGCTGGGCACAGTGGCTCACACCTGTAATCCCAGCACTTTGGGAGGCTGAGGCCGGTGGATCATCTGAGGTCAAGAGTTCAAGACCAGCCTGGCCAACATGACAAAACCCTGTCTCTACTAAAAATACAAAAATTAGCTGGGCATAATGGCACGTGCCTGTAGTCTCAGCTACTCAGGAGGCTGAGGCAGGAGAATCGCTTGAACTCAGGAGGCGGAAGTTGCCGTGAACCAAGATAGCACCACTGCACTCCAGCCTGGATGACAAAGTGAGACTCTGTCCCCTGCCCCAAAAAAAGGAGTTTTGGCCAGGCCAGGCATGGTGGCTCACACCTGTAATCCCAGCACTTTGGGAGGGCATGGTGAGAGGATCTCTTGATCCCAGGCGTTCAAGACCAGCCATTGGCAACATAACAAGACCCCATCTCTAAAAAAAAAAATATATATATATATATATATATATATATATATATAAAATTTTAGCTGGGTGTGGTGGCAGGCCCCTGTGGTCCCAGCTACTCAGAAGGGTGAGGTGAGTGGATCACTTGAGCCCACAAGGTCAAGACCAGCCTGGACAACATAGCAAGACCCCATTTCAACAAAAAAAATTAGCCATGTGTGCTGTCACGCACCTGTAGTCCCAGTGACTGGGGAGGCTGAGGTGGGAGGATCACCTGAGTCCGGCAGGTCAAGGCCACAGACAGCCAGATCGGCCCCCTGCACTCCAGCCTAGGAGACAGAGTGAGACTCTATCTTGGAAAAAAAAAGACAGTCTCTGAAGTAAAGCGCCTGCAAATGCTTTGTTAATTGCAAGGTCCCGTCCAAAAATGGCCGGACAAGGGGCTTGGGGCTCGTAGGAAGCAGTGAGGGTTCCTGGCACACGCTCAGGTCATGGCTCGATGCCTGTGCCCCCTCGCCTCCGCCCAGGGTCAGTCATTTTTCAGAGGGCGGCCTGTGCGTGACAGGGATGGTGACTCAGGCCACCGCCCCAAGAACAGGCTGTTCTCTCTCTGGGGTCCCTTACAGCAGTGACAGAGGACTCAGGGCCTGGCATTGCCATTTGCAGTTTAGGACCTGAGGCTCGGGAAGGCACCAAGACTTTCAGTCAGATCCCTTTGATCCCAAAGACTGTACCTGTGACCATTTTGCCACTGGGCTTTTGTCAATCTGGGTCTCTTCCAGCCTCAGAGGACTAATATGGGATTTCTGGCCAAGCAGATTTCCAAAAGCTTTGCCACCAACTCCCCAGAATGCATCACGTCCACCTCCATCTCCACCTCTTCTTTTTTATTTTTTTCTTCTTGCATACCCCCTCGGACGGGGAGCTCACTCCCTTGCCAAGCTGTCTCCCAACCCCTTTGCTCTAGATGGTTCTGCCTGGGAGAAAGTTCTCAGCCCCAAGCAGCCCACAGGGAGGGAAATAAAAAGGTGAGCGGGCGATTCCTTGCTCCAAGCAAACACGATTTTCCTCTCTCCATCTTGGCCCAAAGCCCTCATGGCAAGGAAGGAGGTTCTATTCTTATCCCCACTTCTCAGAGGAGGAAACTGAGGCCCCAGGGAAGTGAGCAGCCTGAGGTCACAGAGCAGAGAATCAGGGACAGGGCCGGGCTCCCAGCCCAGGACTGTCGGGGCCTCGGCTGAGAACCGGGGAAGCTCTTGACATTGTTTACCCCAAAATGACGTCCACCTGCCGAGAAAACAATGTGTACTCAGGCCTGGGCCTTGCCAGCTCCTCTCCTCGGGGTCGCAGTAAGGGCCTCTGGCACTGCTGGGCTCTGGCCGACTGGCCTTCCCCTGAGAGGGGCTTGGGGCAAGTGGGCTGGGCCTGTTTGCTGTAGGTTCACTGGCCAATTTGGGGCCAGTCGCTGGAATGTTTTCTTTTTTTTGAGATGGAGTCTTACTCTGTCACCCAGGCTGGAGTGCAGTGGTGCTATCTCAGCTCACTGCAAACTCTGCTTCCCAGGTTCAAGGGATTCTCCTGCCTCAGCCTTCTGAGTAGCTGGGACCACAGGTGGGTGCCACCATGCCTGGCTAATTTTTTTTGTTTTGTTTTTGTATTTCTAGTAGAGATGGGATTTCATCGTGTTACCCAGGATGGTCTTGATCTCCTGACCTCATGATCCACCCACCTTGGCCTCCCAAAGTGCTGGGATTACAGGCGTAAACCACTGTACCCAGCCCTTTTTTTTTTTTTTTTTTTTTTTTTTTTTTTTTTTTTTTTTTTTTGAGATGGAGTCTCACTCGGTTG